GGCGAGACCGTACATGAGCTGGTGGAAGAACCGCCGCGCCTCCACCTCAGACAAGTGGGGGTGCGGCTGCCGGTTCTCGCTGTCCATCAGACGCTCCAGCAAATCACCATCTAATCCACACACACACACACACACACACACACACATACACAGATGTAGATCCACACGAGCCCACAGATCAAGTCTCGTGACGGCCATCGACCATGACTCGATGACAAGGAGGATCTTGGTCCGGCTCTGAAGCACTGCAACAATATGACATCACACACACGTCGATTGACCGATCCACAGCCAGGCAATCAACAAGGAGATGATCAGTACCAGAATTACATACCACTCCATCGAGCAACCGACTGGTCCCGCTGCAGAGGGAGACAGAGGGGCAATGGGAGCTCCAAGCTATTCACTGAGAGAGTGAGAGAGTGTCTCTAACTGACTCAGTCGTGCGTCCCTTCATGCCCACACTGACATGTTGTCGCTGAATGGCTGTGGCCTCGATGATGGTCAGCATTGCTCGACACTTCAGCCCCCTTTGTAGAGCGGCAGACAGCTTGGGGGAAGTACAGAGGAGCCAGCCAACCACCATGCCGACACACGACACGTTGAACCGTGGCGATGTACACCCTGCGTGCTTTCACACGGCGTGCCAGACAGACATACACGTTTACGTTTACAGCGGCCGTTGCCGTGCACGCATTTTTTGGGGGAGGGAGCTCACGACAGGCCAGGTGGTGCATGTGAAGGTGGGCGATGTTGCGTACGCTGCTGGTGGCTCTCATCTTCCTCGCCGCCCACTCCTCAGGTGAATCAATGACACCACACATGCAAGTGATGCACGTACGGCGGGGGGGTCAACGGTGTGTGTGCGCTGCGGCATGGGCGATGCTTTCAGCTTACACTCCGCCGCCTTGCCACCAGCAGGGAATCGAGTTCGCCAAGGGGGCACAAGGCGCACTGCTCGCAAAGGTGGGATGTGACGTCGACCACACACACACACACGTACAAGGGAAGGGAAAATGCTGCACGTGTTGCTTGCTTCGTACGTGTGGCCGTTTCCATCAGAGGTCACTGTCTGCTCCGCCCGGCACCTCAAGAAACGACGCGAGGGAAACGGCACTTCTCCAGTGTCAGGTCTTCTGCCAACAGGAAAAGGTCAGTGCATGAATGGCAACGAGAACACGCCAGGCCTGCCCGACGCTCTTCTCCTTCACTGTGCCGGTCGCGTCGCTTTGGTTGTCGCCAGTTCTGTTTCTTCTTCAATCTGATCGAGGATCGAGGGGCGGCCTCGTGGAGCTGCGAGCTGCTCGCCGTCAAGGAGCCGAAGGGCCCCAACCCCAGGAGCACCGCCGGACACAGATCCTGCGCCAAAAAGTCACACGGTTAGATGAGAAGAAAAGAACAGATGAGCCAGGCAGGCCTGCACAGCACAGTCGAACGAACGAGTACGTACGGTCTCACGCAAGATCTCTCGCGCTGAGGCTGACGGACGCCCATCGACTCTCTGTGTAGACCTCCGTTCCTGAACTGAATGATGACAGTTCCCGAGGCGCCACCGGCGCTCCCCTCCCCCCCGCCCAAGGTAGACCCCATCCTCTACTCCCTCTTCCGCATGGCCAACACCACCGACGACGAGGCCGTCTCAAGGAACCGGACACGGCGAGATTCGACGTCCGCTCTGCCTCCAATGCGAGACGGGCGGGTGCTCATCGAGGCCGTCGCTGCCAACCGCAGGAACGACTCCTCGCTCATCGACGACCTCACAGGTGCGGTGGAAGCACACAGCATAGAGCTCTCCTCCGTACTTGCGTGTGTGTCTGGATGAGCCTGGTGTTGGTGCGACTTGCAGCGCTTGGGCTGGAGGATGGTCGCCAGAGTGGGTTCTACGTGAGTGGATATCTGCCGATCGAGCAGGTGCCGCGGCTGAGTGAGCTGGAGAGTCTGGGCGGCACCATCCCACCCGCCAGGAGGCTCCGAGCCGGTAGCGTCACGTCACAGGGAGTCAGATCCATAGAGGTGGGCAATGCCACGACACGATGTATGCATGGCATGCGACAAATGTAATAATGTGCGGGGGAATGCGGCGTCTCCACCCGTGGGTATGTGTCAGGCTGACAGCGGACAGACTCTCTTCAATGTGGACGGCAGCGGCATCAACTGCATCGGCATCCTCTCAGACAGGTACCTAGGAGCCCCCTCCCCTCCCCACACACACACTAGAGAGAGAGAGAGAGAGAGGGTGGGGGGGAGGGGCAGACAAAGAGACAGACAGAGCACCAACCGGGGTGTGTGCCAATCACCTGTGTGCTCTCCCTGCTCACACCATGCAGCATGGATAGCGAGGATGGCGGCGTGTTCATGGGTCAGCTGACCGGCGACCTCCCTCGCGGCGACAACCTCACCATCATACGAGACGAGAGAGGGATCGACGAGGGACGAGCCATGGCTGAGTTGGCCTTCGACGTGGCGCCCGGTGCCCCCCAGGCCTTCGCAGCGGTGGGGCGCAACGAGCTGGACTACGTAGAGGCGATCAAGCTGCTGGTTGACGAGGGGTGCGAAGTCCTGGTCAGTGGCGAGTGAGTGCATTGGGTTATGTCTTGGATGGATGGATGGATGTGTGCAGGTGGACGACATCATATTCTTTTTTGAGCCGATGTTTGAGGACGGCCCCGTGTCGCTAGCGGCCACGTGGGCGACCGAACAGGGGCGGGTCTTCTTCTCGGCAGCGGGCAACCAAGAAGACGCGGGCTACCAGAGTGAGCCACAGACACACACACACACACACATCCCCGCTGCCAACACTGTCCTGTCCGTGCAGGTGCATTTGTTGATTCCGGGATAGTCAGCCCCGCCAGGTCTCCCTCCATATGATTCGCACCGCACGTCCATCTATATGTGTCTGTGTCTGTGTCTGTGTCTGTGTCTGCAGTGGGGGCGTGTTCCACGAGTGGTGGAACGGCGAGGTCTTGATGCCCATAACCGTGCCTGGAGAAGGCAAACTAGACATCGTGTATGCCCCATATCATGCGCACACACGCACAGCAACAACCACCCCCACGCACATCGATCGCATCGCGTTGCTCCCTGTCCTGTATATGTCTCTTAGCATGCAGTGGGATGAGGCGTTCGGCCTGGCGCTGTCCGACATGGACATCATCCTCTATGACTCCAAGGGCGTCCCACTCCAGTCAGCCCCGGGCGATGGCGAGCTCCATCAAGGCAACATGAGGCGTCAGTCAGAATGCCCTTCCCCTCCCTCTCACGACGTGTGTCATCGACCGATTGCTGGTCGGACGGTCCTTCCTTTGTGTCTTCGTTCGTTCATTCAGGTAGCACAATCCCTGGGGAGATGGTGACGCTGGAGAACCTGAGCCCATTGAGTGTGGAGGTCTTTCTGGGCATAGAGCTCGTCTCAGGCCAGGCACCCGGACTCTTCCAGTTCGTCCCCTTCGCCGACGGATTCTTCGAGAGCGAAGCCTTCTCGGAAGACAAGCCCAAAGGTGCGAAAGAAACAGATGCTGCTGATGCTCTTGCTTGTGTCGTCCTTTCTATCTCTGTCTTTCTCCTGTCTGTCTGCCTGTCTGCAGGACCGACCATATATGGCCACAGCAATGGGCTGGGCGTCGCTTCTGTGGGCGCTGCTGCGTACCAAGTAAGCCCCGCAGCCGCCCAGCGACCCATCCACACTCAGCCGCCTTGCTTCATTTCCTCTCTGTGTTGGTCGGTGTGTCGCCCATCTGTCTGTCTACCTTTCTGTCTGCAGGACACCCCCCCCTTCACCACGACGCCCCCCGAGATCAACCCCTCCTCATCGCTGGGCGGCACTCCCATCCTCTTCGACCCCCTCGGCAGGCGGATCTACCCTCAGGTCCGCCTGCAGCCGAGCGTCGTGGGCCCCGATGGCGTCGACACGACATTCTTCGGATTTGAGGACACCGACCAAACGGGCAACCCAAACTTCTTCGGTTGGTCGGCTCGATGTGATGTGGGGTGATGGTGGGGCACCGTGATGGTGGGGGACTTGTATGTATGAATGTATGTGTGTATGTGCTGTGGTGCTGTGTGGCAGGCACGAGTGCGTCTGCGCCACATGCTGCCGGTCTGGCGGCGCTGATGCTGCAGCTGAACCCCTCCCTCTCGCCGGCAGAGACCATCGCCATCATGGAGGACACTGCACTCGACATGGACGGTATCCACACAAGCCAGCCACTCACCCGAACGGCCATTTGTGCATCTGTGTGTGTGTCGGAACGAACCATCAGATCCCGGCCAGCACGGTTTCCAGCGGGGCTTTGATTTCCGTTCCGGCCACGGCCTGCTGCAGTCGGTGGGCGCGCTAAGTGCCGCATCGGGGCAGCCGGCGCTGAGCACCATGAGCAGCGGCAACACGACAGACACGGTGGGGGCGTCGGGGATGGTCGAGGGGAAGGCCAGCGACGGTGGTGATGCCATCGTGAGGGTCTCCTCTCTGTCTACATGACATGACATGATGCTTGCCTTGCGTGTATGGCCAAGGGGAGTGAGTCGGTGGAGGGTGGGTGCGTGCATGGCATGCAGCTGTTGTTTTGTCAAGTGGTAACTTAGCGCTCCTTTCTCCCATCCATCTCGCCTGCCTCATGGCCTCATGGGGCGGGCGCTTCAACCAACATGCGCACAGCCTGACTTTTTGTTCGTGTTGTGTCTGCGTGAGTGACTTATGTGTGTTTTTGTGAGTGCATGTCTGTCTTTGTGCCTTGTGTGTGTAGCAGCTACAGTAGTGTGTGTATAAGTGAGTGAGTGAGTGTCTCGTTTTCCCTGCCACGCAAAGAGAGTGGTCCCGGCTGATCGATACACACCTTTGTGACACGGGTAGTGTGTGTATACGGCGAGGCTATCTCCCTTATTTGTGGGGGTGTGTGGTGTGTGGTGTGACTGATTGGTGTGTGTGGATGGGATGCCTTCACTCTTGGTCCATGTCATGTGTGCAGGCAGTGAGTGGAGTGGGTGGGACATAGAACAGTTTGACTGACTGACTGACGTACATAGAGAGAGAAACATACATACACACGGCGCGGCGAGAGATGGCCATTTGGGTGTGGGAGTGGGGGGATCCGATCCGATCCTCGTATCCTTCCTTCCCTCGCTCCCTGCCTGCCTGCCTGTGTGTGGGTGTATATAGCTAGGTAGTACTTAGGCATAGTCAGCCGATGGGCTGACGGTGAGTGAGTGCGCTAGTGAGACAGACAGACAGACACCTTTCTGTCGGAGTTAACCTGTATGTAGCACAGCGATCCTCGGGCAACGCGTCAGTCGCCAACATTTCAAGTGTCTAAATCACTGTCTAGGCAGACAGACAAGAGTCAATGCGATCGACGGCCCGTCCATCCATCTACACAGCCGGCCGAACACTCCCACACCCACACACGCACTATGACTCGACTCACTCACTCCGGGGCGAGGGACGTGCCATCCACCTCCTGCACACACAACAACCATTATGACACACACACACGGACATCCTTTGTGTGGTCGAGACCCCCGCTCCGCTCCTCATGCACCACACACCTGTTCGTCCGTCACGAATGTGTCATCGCCCCCACCAGATGGACTCGGAACTGAGAGAACGATACAGACAGATGTGTGGAGACATGGTCGTCTGTGCATAAGGGAATGTATGCATCTTATCAAGATTGCCTGGCGGCAAAGATGGGGGTGGAGGTGGGGGCGCGTTGGTATCAACGGGAGGACTCAGACTCGGAGCCGGAGGAGGGCTGGGGGGCTCGCTCACTGCCTCAGCGGGGGCCGGCGCTGCACACACAGTAAGGAAGGAAATAAGGGCATTGCGGTCAGGCAGGCAAATTTGGCCTCTTCGCCTCTCTCCTTGGCTACGTGTCTGCTGCTCTTCCTCCCTCGGTGGCTCGGAAGGCGATGGAGGCTCGCTGACAGCCTCGGTCTCAGTGGGCGGCTCAGCTGCATTGCAAGAATGAATGGACAAACGAATGCAATATACAGTCATTCCTTCAAGTCTGGATCGTGTCAACCTTACTCGCTGCCTCGGTGATGGGCTCGGGAGTCGTCACTGGCTCAGCGGGCTCCTTCGTAGGACGAGGTGGAGGGTGTCTCGTTGGTGGCTCGGTCGGAGGCTCGGCTGCATCCCATCCCATCCACACCAACACCATTAATTACACTCACAGCCGTGCTTTTTCTTGCTTGCTTACTTGGCTCTTGTTCCACAGCCGGTGGAGCGGGTTTCTGTGTGATAGAGGGCAGCGGGGTGGTGGGTGGCACTGTGGGAGGGGGTGGGGGAGGGGGTGGCTGGCTGTGTGCCGCAGGGGGAGGGGAAGGGGGCTCGTGGGTCGTGACGAGTGGCGGATGGTGCTGCGGACCGTAGTGGGAGGGATGGTCATGGTCATGGTGGTGGTGGTGGGTGCTCGTGTCCCTCGCCGTCGAAGGCTCCGTCCATTTGCTTGAGGCTGCAGAGCTCATACAGCTGGCCCTCGAAGTGGTGGGCGCACCTACAGGCACGCATCGCATCCACACATCACATCGATGTCCCTTTCTCTCTGCGTGTGCGCTCACTTGGCTGGTACCTGAGACACGTTGCGTTGATGGACTCCTCCCTGACGGCCGTCAGGTTGGGACTCTGGTCGTACAGACACGCGGCAAAGTCGCCCACACTCTTGTCAAAGCCCTCCTCAACCGCCTGCATTCCCAACACAAGAAGGATGAACAAACCCGACAGCCGGAAGCCGTTCTGCCGTTCTGACCAGCTGGCATTCGTCCACAGAGGTGGTCTTCTTGACGGCGTCGATGCATGAGGGCAGCATGCCGCCATCGGTGACGGCCTCGCACGTCGTGAGGGCGTCGTGGTGGAGGAAGGCGCAGTGCTGACACTCTGGAGGCATCGACAGCTCTGGGGGGTGCTCGTCTGATACATGTATGTGTGTGTGCGTAATTCTGTTGTGTGTAGGCTCATTGTTTTGTTCTCTTCTTACAGAAGATGCACTCGCTGACGAGATGGCCCATGAAGCCGAAACAGAACTCGTCAAGCGTTAAGACACCATCACCGTCTCCATCTGACCGCCGAGACACCGAGACACGGACACAAAGTGATTTGTGTGCGTTTGTCGGGTTGTGCCTTTGCCCCGACCAGACCAGGCCAGACCTTGGTTGGCAAGATACATCCACGCGGCCGCCTGCAATGGGATACGAGACTGACTATTCAGCTGGTGGGTTGTGTCCATGGAGGTTGGTCCATCCATCCATCCATCCATGCATCCCTCCCTCTTACGGGTTCCATGGCGGCATCGGGCGGCAGCCACTGGTGCAGCTTGCACTCCTGGTCCAGCACACGCAGCCGCTCTACAGCCGTATCCACACTAAGCATGCCATCGGTGACACAGTGAAAGTCATGACGGACGCGATTTGATTTGTTTGCAAGGCAATGTGTCTCTCTCTCACCTCAGTCCGCCAACAAGCGGCAGCTCCTCCCACCAGTGCGTGCCCTTCTCGTAGCACATGTGCAGCGCGTCTCGTTCATCGATGCCGCATATGTCCATCCGGTGGGCGAGCCCAGCCGAGAGGTGTTGCAAGACGGGCTCCTCGTCGAACATGGCACAGATCTGTTCGTGGTTGAGGCCGTCGCCCTCGGGGTCGTGGCCGCTGAGGTAGCTCGCCGCCTCCTCGGGGGAGGGGCACTCGGCTCCGTCAGCTCCTGCAACAAAGATGGGTCGGGGGCTGGCCGCGTCTATGTACCCTTACCTGTGTCGACGAATTTGGTGCAGAGTTCTTGGCGCATGTGTTCAAACTCGTTGGCGTCCATGAAGCCGTCCACGTTGATGTCCGCGGCGTCAAACACCATCGAGCAGATGTCCATCACACCTGATATTCATGAAAACAGAGAGGAAGAGCCACCGTCAGTCAGAACTCTGGGCCTCTCTCCTCCCTCACTCACTCACCGGTGGGCTCCTGATGATGCACGGCATCGTGGTGGTGGTGGTGATGCGGCCCCTCGTGGTGCACCAGATCCTGCTCATGGCCTTCGTGCAGGTGCTGGCACGGACACACAGGACATTCGCACTCGTGGGGATGCCGCTCCGGCTGGTAATAATCAGACGTGTCGGGCGGTGTCAGCCGCTGCCGGCCAACCCCTTCCGCCCTCCCCCTCCCCCCTCGCCTCAGAACAAGGCTTCGCGAATGTCCTTGACCGATTCCTCTCAATCTGGTGCTGTGGGAGGCCTTCCGAGATGGCCGAGTGAGGGGCTGCCGGGTGTTGTTTGTGACGGCGGCGGCCTTGGAGTACAGCTGACGAGCCCGGGCCTTGGCCAGCTCCGCGAAGAAGGTGTCGGCGTGCTTCTGGCACATCTGACGGCAGTCGGCTGGGTCTCTTCTCTCCTGACACGCCTCGTTGCAGGCCTTTGCAGTGACGCACGTGGTCAGGCACAAGATGTCCGTCCCACAAGACGCTGCGATCAAAAGACAGAACAGAAACACATCAGATCTTTCACCAGATTTGCAGGCAGATCGATGCAATGCGTGTTCGGCGTACCGTCACAGTGCAGGCCCTGCCAGTTGATGGTGAACAGCCTTTGACGTCCTCCTTTGCCGCGTGTGAGAACCGCCGGCGCCATGCCGTTGCGGTGAGCCGTCGACGTCCATTGCCGATGGACGGATGCGAAGCGATTCCTCGCTGCCTTGCGAGAGAAGAGGGCGCCTTGTGCAAAGATCAAGGGCAGAAAGAGGATGCCCAACGCGGGCGCTGACGTCGGCATTTTCCGCTGTCCACAAGATTTACATATCGAGATCGCGTTCCAACCTTTGCGCGGACTTACAAACCGTCAAACTATCATCCACCCATTCTCGTTCATTCGTTCATTGACGCCAAATACATGCCAACATGTAAAAGTCGATTGGCAAACAATCAATACAGCAGCGAGTCAGTGAGTGAGTGAGTGAGTGTCACCGAGGGGAGGGGGGAGGAAGGAAGCAGCAAGTGCGTATTCGTGTGTGTAGGTGGGTACAAACGTATTGCACACAGACAGACAGACAGACAGACGGGGAGGCAGACGGGGAGGCAGGCAGGCAGGCAGGTCACAGATAGCTGACGGACCTCACGCACGCAGCAATCGTCACGCCATGCACCCACCAACCAGCCCCAACCGCCTCGCCCCGCCCACCGAACCAAGCGACCGATGAACGAGGACCGATACGATGCGTTGACAATCAGATCCATGCCAATGCAGGCGGGCAGTGAGGCGGGCAGGCAAGTACAAGGGAGGGAGCGGAGCAAGCACCGACACACGCAATGGACCCTTCCTCCCTCCTCCCTGTTCCACCCACCACCAGTGCTCGCATGCAGGCAGCAACGTCACCTCACCCACCGCCAGCAGATAGGGCTCAGTCAGGTCTCTTCTCGTTGATCTGGTCCGCCTTCTTGACGTCAATGAAACGCTGGAGCTCTGAAGGACAGACAGGACGACCACACACGCGACACACAGGCACCCACAACAGACAGACAGGGACGTGTGGAGTGGATAGCACCAAGTGACTGGATTGGGTGTGCGTGTACCTGACTGGAGTCCCTCGGGTCCCTTGAGCAGGACGCCCATCGGGATTCGGTGTCCGGGGCTCAGGCCCTTGAGCTTCACCACCACCTCGTTGTGCTCCCTGATTGTGCAGGTGGAGTGGAGCGGTTGGTTGGTTGGTGCACACGTATGTGTCTCTTCTTGTCTGTCAGATGGGCGAGGCGCACCTGAGTGTTTTGAACATTCTCATGAGCCGCGACACGGTCTGGACCTTCTTCCTCAAGGCCTCAGCACCTGAAAATGTGCACACAGGGCAGGGACGAATGACACAAGCAAGACCCACAGCATACCACCGTGCAGGATCAGATCTATCAGGTGGGAATGGGATGATGTCTTACGTTCTTTGGACAGTTGCTTCTTGTCTTTTGGTGTTTTGGCGTCCTTGGCGGCCATGGCGTCCTCATCCTCCTCGGCCGTGATGGACGTCGTGCGGCGGACTATGCGCTGAACCTGACAGATATGTGTGGCACAAAGATTGATGGATTGATCAAGATAGCCATGCCACGTGCTGTGTGGTGTCCGTCCGCACCTCAGTGGGCAGAGTGATGTTGTCGACGTCGTCGTCTTCCTCCTCGAGATCCTCCAGTGACGGATTCAGAATCGCATACAGCATCTCCGTCACTGTAGGACACACATACATCCACACCACACACGACACACACACAATGCTCCTTGCTGGCTGAGCCTGTGGGTGCGTGTGTCTGGGAGGGGGAGGGGGGCAGCCCCTACCTTTTTCTGATACGAATGGGATGGACCATGTGAAGATGTCCATGAAGTTGGGCAGGTGGTACGGGTGGGGCGAAAAGTTAAACTGCTGAATGTTCAACGTGTTGTTCTGACCAATGACACCAATGACCAGAGAGAGAGGGAGAGGGAGAGAGAGAACAGATGGACAGACGCACAGAACGCTGCATCCCTTCCTTGCCCACTGTCACTGTCTGACGCACGCACCTCGAACTTGAGCACCGCGCCCTTGTTGTTGTAGCAGTCGCAGTAGTTGGGGGCCGAAAAAATCGTTATCACCTGCACGCCATCCCATCCACACGCGACGCACGACACGCCCGCCGTACACACCAACCACAATGGGGGACTGACTCCAACTCCATCTATGCATGCGCTCACTCACCGTTGGGAATCCTGTCTTGGAGTTGGTTTGGTGCATCTTGTAGCTGATCGAGCAGAGCAATGCACACACACACAGGACACATCACACCGGCGCACACACATCATCAGTCACGTGATGTGTTTGTTGGTTGTCTTGTGCCTCCTCTTACCCCTCCAGCTGCGCCTCGTGTGCCCGTATGACCGACAGCAGGCCGTTCTTGTCCAGAAATCCGCTGGCCGCCTCGTACCCAAAAAAATACGAACAGCCGCGGACATCATTCGGGAAGAACGGCTCTGGGCAGGGCAGCAGAACAACGAACAACAAGAGCAACACATACATGTCGGTCAGGCCTTGCTGTGTGTCGATCATCTCGCGCCTCCACACACAGCTAGCTAGCTAGCTACCTGGGTGTGCGAGGTGCTCCTCCTTCTCCTCATCGACGGGGTCCGACCAAAGCAAATCGCTGGTGGATGGATGGATGGAAGGACACACAGACAGACAGACAGACAGATGAGGCGGACTGTGGGCTCTCTGCTCTGTGAGTGAGTGAGTGAGTGAGTGGGTGCCGACCAGAAGAGTCCGTTTCTTGGTGGCTCCTGAAAGCGGTTGATGCTGCCGATCTGAGAGATCTGATGAATGGAGATGAACGAGGGAGGGAAGGGTACGCACAAAGGGAATGACAAGATGTGCTGTTTGTTCCTGTGGAATGGATGGGATGCTGTGTGGCCTACCGTTCTGAGGTCTGGTGAGAGTCCCCCGTGCACAGCAAGGAACTTCCCTGGACAGGACAACCCAACCGAAACGAAAGGAACATCCATCTTCGTGTGTCTGTCAGCTCCCTCGCTCCCTCCCTCACTCCCTCACTCACCGTTGATGATGGCTGATATGGGGAGTGTGTCAAAGGACTCCATGAAGGCGTAGTACACCGTCAGGTCGTACTTGTACTCGCCTGCCACCACACACACCACACACGACACACGACACACGACACCACACCGCACCAATCGATGCATCGACACGTCATAAATCGTGCCTCTCTCCGTGCTGACTCACATTCGTCCCTGAAGTTGAAGAATGCCGTCATTTGTCGGCACTCGTGGTTGCCTCGCAGCAGCCAGATCTTGTTCGGGAAGTTCAACTGACATACACCCATTCACATACACAAACACGCACAAGATGACTGCTGTCCGTTCCGTGCCAGCCAGCCCAGGCTAGGTCGGTCGGTACCTTGAGTGCGAAGAGCACGAGCAGACATTCGATCGAGAAGGAGCCGCGGTCCACATAGTCACCCAGGAAGATATACCTGATGGATAACACACACGCACAGACCACAGACCACAGACACACGCCATGTGTGAGTGTGAGTGTGAGTGTGAGTGTGGATGGGTATCTATCGTGTGTCAGTCTTGTCAGCTACTCACTGTGTTGAGTCGGGGTCCCCTCCCACGTCGAGCAGCTTGACAAAGTCGAAAAACTGGCCGTGAATATCGCCAACAACTGCAGACCACACGGAGGAAGAAGGCAAGATAACATCGACCGACCGACCCATGGATGGATGTGATGCCGTCCGTGGTTGTGTGTGTTGGTGTCCTTTTCTCTCTTAGCCCTACCTACCTGTGATTGGGTCCTTCAGCCGGACCATGTTGGGCTCACTGCCAGTCGTGTCTGACCGACCACAGCACAGCCACAGCCACAGCCACAAAATCTTGCACAGACAGACATGCTGTTCTCTTTCTGCCTCCCTCACACACACGTACCTGAGACTTTCTTGATGATGTCCAGGCAATGCTCCTTGAGTAGCCTGCCCTCCCGGAACAGGTGCTGCTTGAGCGCCCGCCAGTTGGGGATGCCATCACCCTTCGGAAACAACAGCTCATCCGTCAACGGCTGCATCGACCGACCGACCAACAAACCATACACACAACCACAACCACACAACCACACCAGCGAGAGCAGTTCATGTCTGTCTGCACATCCTCTTCCATCGGATGCGATGGATTCCGCACCTTGGCTGGTGGTGGTTCGATGTCCTTGACGACTCTGTCCTTCTTGGGGTCCGACAGGGGGTCCATCGGTCAACACAGGGGGCGGGCGGGCAATGGGTTGGGACGGACGGACGGGAGGGAGGGAAGGAAGAGGGACCGACGGACGACTCAATGAACCGATCAACCACAAACAGCCAGATTCACGCACACCACCGGGGCCGAATCAAACAAGCCGCCTCAGTAGAGCCAACCGCCTCGCCGACAGCAGATAGCGACTCTTTCGTCGCCTTTTACGATCGCAGCTGAGGCCTGTTCTGACGCAGCCGATGCTCTGTGCTCAGCTGGAGGGTACAGAGAGGACCCATGGGTGACACATGTATCTCTGCGGGACGGAGGGAGGGCAGGGGCGGGGGGCGAGAGCTGCGGACGCGGCAATGGTGGATGCGGTTGTGTGTCGACAACACACGCTGCAGGGAGCCTTGGGAGAGGAGAAAGACGCGGATCACGTTGTGCGAGCTCGAATTGCGAGCTTAGCCCCGAGACGGAGTGGAAAAAGAGTCGTTCCCCGCTCCGTTGGTGCTGTAGGAGCAGGCCAGTCATCATATGCGTTGAATTCCCTGACTTTCGCAGGCCTTTGTGCAGCTGGTCTGTCATTCCGACTGTGACTCATTGTCCGTCCATCCCTCTGTACTAGACTTGCGTTGACCTTAATGGCTCGTCGCGAGATGCTGAGCACATCGTATCCCGGTGAGGGTCAGCAGTCCCTGTCGCCCCTCTCCGTCCACGCGCAGCCGGCAGCCCACGCCGTCAGTGGCCCTGCCGCTGACGGGCCCATGCTCTCCACCTTCGACTTCACGGCCATCGAGTCAATGGACCCTTCGCTCGGTACGGACGGCCGGGGGAAGGGGTGGAACAGATGGGGGAAGATGGCAGAGGCTCGAGCGGCTGAATGTATGTCTGCTTCGTTCTGTCTTTGTTTCTTCTTGTGTGCACGGGATGGATGGGCGCAGCTGAGGGGCATCGAGTTGTGTATGACCGGGAGTGTCCGTTTGAGCTGCGGGTGCAGGAGAGCGACGCCAATGCGCCACAGGTAGGTACGGTAGGCACGGAAAGGATGGACCCACAGGCTGATCGATCTCAGAGGCTGTTTCGTCTTGTCTGGTCATCCTCATCTATGGCTGTGTGTGTGTGGCCACACACAGGAGGTTGGGACTCTCGAGGCTATCAAATGCAAGATACTGTTGTTGGTCAGCAGCCTGCCAAGCCACCTGCTCTGTGGAGGGGTGGATGGGGGCGCAGTGCAGTGCATGTGTCTGCTCCTGGTCCGGTCGATCTGTCTGTCTGTCTACAGGGTGACCAGGCGTGTCCTCAGCACGTGCGCGTCGACCTGACGAGCGAAAATGACCTCTTCTTCCACTACACACACAGGTGGGCAGGGCATTGCATTCACATGCACACGAGAACGAGAAGAGAACAAGAGAAACCCATCCATCCATCCATCCATGTGTGTGCCTACCTGTCTGTGTGTTATGTGTGTTTAGTGTGAATGAGTCGTCGTTTCGGGGGATGCAGGAGGCGCAGAAGCTGATGATCGAGTTCCCGGACTACATGAACGTGCTCGTCAAAATGCTCAACTCCTGCATCAAGTCCCCACACAGGCATGTACCTCCCATGAGCACCACACCACACGACCAACACGTGGATGGATGTGCGTCTGTCTATGTGTGTGTGGTGTGGACGGACGGACGGACGTGGTCAGTTTCCTGGCGGTGTTGCTGCTGAAGCGCGATGGCAAGGCGCAGCTGGACATCATCCAGGTGAGCGACGATCGACACAAATGAGAATAATACACACAGATACAGAGAGAGTGTCACCTGTGTGTGTGTGTGTGTGTGTGTGTATGCGTGGTTCAGAATATGGAGTATAAGTTCGTTGAGTTGTTGTCGCTGGACTTCACCGCATCGCCCGAGGAGGTCGTCAGACAGCAGATCACATTCAGGTGGGCAGCCAGACGGGGGGGCTTACTGGCGGGGGAGTGGGCCACTCACTCACCCCACGGCCTCTCTGTGTCTGTGTCTGTGTGTTGGTGGCAATCCTTCTGCAGATACAACAGCCTGAAATCGAAAGTGGCCCTCATGCAAGCCAGGCTGCAGGTGCGGGCACACCCATCTGCCCAGCAGTATCGTGCATCCGAAAGTGTCCTTGCGCCTTGTGTTCTCTTGCGTTTGTCTGTTCAGGACATTAATGCGTTGGTGAAGGTCAAGAACCCGTCTCTGCTGCTGCAGCTGCAGAAGACCCCCCCATCGCAGTACGGCCAGCAGCACCACGCCTACTCCACCAGCAGCCCACACGTGTCACCGCTGCCCCAGGCCCGGACCGCCAACACGTCCGTCATGTCCAGGCGATGAATGAATGAATGAATGACTTGGGTGGAGCCACAGAACGAAGGGGAGAGAGAGAGAGGTCGTGGTGTGTGAGTGAGTGGGTGGGTGGGTGTGTATACTCTGATTGACGGACGGGAGTGGAAAAGGAGAGGGCGGCGCGGGGCGGTGAAGAAGGAAACGTTTGATGGATTGCGAACAATAGGAAAGTGACGCACATCAAATCAATGGACAGATAGAATGTCAGTCAGTGCGAGCAGCTCACGTGGGCGGTGTGCTCTTCTTTTTGCCTAACTGCGTTGGCCGTCCCATCTGCCAGCGTCAGTCAGGGGATTCTCCACCTGCACATACACACAGAACAGACGCCGTCAAATGTGGCATGGCATGCATCTCTCGCATATCTCACACACACACACACACACGCACCTCTATGCCAGCAGTATGAACAGGTTGACGAATGAGCTAATGGCAAATATCTTGTCCGCCATGTGCCACTGACACACACACACACACCCCCATCTGTCGCCTGTCTGGCTGGCTGGAAAAAGGATGGAGGGGGTGTCCGGGAGTGCGTGTGTGTGAATGGGCGTGTGTTGCTGGCGTGTACATCACAGCTGTTGAGCTACAGACTGCGTGCGTCATGGACCGACGCACAGGTTTATTTATGTGAAATTGGCTGAGAGAGAGGGAGGAAAAACTCATAGCGAGACATGAGACGCAACCAAATCAATCTTTCGCTACCATCAAGCTTCTCCAGCAATGTCTCCGCCGTGATTTTCCACAACACATGCCCCTCATGGCCGGCTTTGGCTGGACATGGTGTTGTGTGTGTTGTGTGTGTCGTGGGGTTTGTTTGCTCTGCTGTGATGGCAATGGCAACAAAGAGGCGGCGAGTCAGTCAGTCGGTCGATCGGCCGATGTGGTGACCAAGTCGACGGGCGGTGCAGGCACGCACACACGCACCCCAATGAAGTCTGCTTTCGTTTCCGTGTTTCTCCTGCTCGCTGTGAACAGGCCCCATGTTGAACGACAACCAGAAGTAATACTACGGTCGTTCCCATCAGTGCATCCATCTCATCCGTCCCAAACACACGAAATATAAAATGTAGACAGGGATGCCAAGGAAGATCCTCGGCTGACCCACTCGCGCTGACCCCCCGCCACCATCACACACCATTACCTTTACTCGCCACCAGGCCGCTGTATCAATCGGCCTCCTACCCTTAGTTCCCCCACACTGCCCCCTCCGGCACCCGCCACCAGCCAGCGAGCATCTTGTGCGCCTTCTCATGTCGCTCCTCGTTGGCCCACATGGCCTCGGTGACGAAGTGCAGGTACACCATCTCGATGTAGAGGCGCTCCTGGGCCTCGGCGTCGCCCTCGTCCGCCGTCTTGATGGCAACCGACATTATCTCGTACTTCTCGTCCGGAGTGAGGTACCGGTAGAAGCGGACGGTGGTTCGGTTGCCCTTAATGGTGCGGTGGGGCGTCTTGGTGCGGACCCATGTGCGTGGGTCGGGGAGGATCCACTCGGGGGGGTAATGCGGGCACACCACTCTAGCTGAGGGCGCAGCTCGTCGATCAGGCGCCGCAGGTGGTCAATCTGCTCGTTCTTCTGCAGCACCAGCTGCCCCAGGCCAGATGGATGCTGACAAGTAGATTTTGCTGTTGATTCACGCACCGTAGAAAAATGTCTCGCAATAAGCCCTTGCAGGTAGGCTTGTGTCCTCCATTTGCAGGCATAGGCATGGGGCCGCTTGAGAGCGCTGAGACACACACGTTAGCAGCAGACGGATTGCTTGAGAGGATGCTGTCACTGGAAGACCAGATTTCTTACTCATCTGACAGCCGCCAGAAGCGCCTCAAACGGACACCCAAACATAAAACCTGGAGACAATGTCCTTTGGGGTACGTGTTACTTCGACCACCAGCTTGACATCCGGCATCGTTATGGATGTCTCCACGTAGTTCGTAGCAAACATGAATCTGGTCTTGTCTGCAATATTATATAGCACATCCAACAAGCCGTGATTCATGACATGTCCTCCGCATCATTCCTCTGATTATACCAGGTGGGGCTCTTGCAAGCGCTTGCTTTCGGACTTCTTCGCTAACTTGGGCATGTAGCGGGATGGCAATGTAGTCCGTTTGCCTCCGTCAGCAGTTGGTCGAGGTGCGCTATCCTGGAGTGCATGTCGCTCCGCATGTTCTCGTCCACCTCAATATGCAGCCAGGCCACAACACACATAAATGAGAGATGCTCAGCTCATATTGCCCACCCACCCCACCTCCCTACCCAGGACGACTAGTTTGGCCAGGTTGGGCTCAGTTTGGACGTGCCATGCGGTCTGCGTCCGTCGGCTGCCCCAGCCGCCATCTCATTGTTGGGCGGTGTTGGTGGGAACACCAGCAGGGCCTACAGTCGAGGCATACACAGCAAATGGGGAGAAGCCTTTTGTTTGACCTCATCACGCTGTTCACGTGACTTTCTCTTACCGAGTTGTGTCATCGGCGCCTGCATCGGCCAGCCTGCGCGCGAGCGCATCATCGTCGCGGACGTCCTCCCTCTCGGCTTCCTCTCGAAGGCTGATCCCTTCGAAACGACGAGAGACGCTCGCCTGTGTCACTGGCACTCACACCCTCTCTGGGCGCCCGCACCCGCACACCCGCACTCGGGTTCCCTCCGGCCGGAGGGAGCAGAGCCAATTGAGGGTCCCAATGAGGGATGAGCATTTTCCGTGGCGATGAGGACAAAAAGCAAGGCGGTAAAAGAAGATCTGTCGCGTCTCGTCGAGAATGAATGATGTAAACGGATCCTTGCTGCGGATCTGAAGAGTCTTTTCGCGAGATGGCTTCGACGGGTCCGTCGTCGAGCGCCGCTGCGCCCTCTATGTCCCCTGACTCGTCGCGGTATGTACCCGGCATCTATCCGCCGCCCACCGCTGCCGCTGCTGCCGCATCGTATGGCTACGGCGGGATGGGAGGATACTACACGGCTGCGCCGGGTGCTCCGTACACGTACGAGCCCATGACCTATGCTGCTGCTGCTGCGGTGAGGAAACCGACATGGATGGAACCATGGAGTGACATGGATGTAGCGCCCTTTCTCGCATTGTCGTCGGATGGGTGGACGGATGGATGGATGGTGCGGTGATGCAGGGGGCCCCTGGCGTGCCGTATCCGACGTACGAGTATCCACCGGCCGCCTACCCGCAACCGGAATACGGTGAGATCTATCTATCAGATCTGATTCATTCGTGTCACCTCACCTCACCCCGTGTGTGGTGTGCTTGGGCATGCAGATTACGTTGGTTCCTACCCGTACGGCACGGGCGCCACCGCCACCACGTGGCCCGATGACCCCGCTGCCCAGTACGCAGGTATGCACCTCACCTCTCTAGAACACAGCAGATACATACACACACGGCCGGCACGGCATCAATGCATGGGTGTGGCGTTCCCTGCTCTGCTCCTCTCTGCTCCTTCATTCCCCACTGCTGGTGGTGTTCCGGGCACTTCGGTGGGCCCCCTGATCGCACCGGCGGCCTCATTTGCACCGCACTATCCCCTGCCGCACGTAGCCACGCTCCAGCGAGAGGTGGGGCACTGCAGCGTGCACACGAACACGAGATGAGGCGTGGTGAGGTGAGGTGTGGTGTGTTGTGTAGGCCAAGAAAAAGAAGAAGGGATGCTGCTAGACATGCTGAGGGAGAGGTAGCTCACGATATGGCTGGATGAGTGAATGAATGAATGAATGGGTGGGTGGGTGGCTAGATAGTGGATGTTGGTGCACTCGTTGATATGTCCGACAGCGAAAGTCGTTGATATGTGCGCAGCGTGTGAGCTGCGTGTGATGGATGCGTCTGATGGACTGACTGCCCGACGCATGTGTGTGTATGCCTAGTCCGTAGTCCATGGTAAAGCGGGATCATGCACACCTCTTAATGCACCGGATGCATCACTGTGTCAGTTCCACACACAACGTACAGACACGCATACACGCATACGCATACTCGTGTGCACGCCCGCACACGATGTCTGGAAGACAAAACACACGGCGGCGAGAGAAGACACCTCCCAGGCCTGTCAAAAAAGCCTCTCTGCCAACCGAACCGACGACACTCACCACACACACACAAGGGGAAGAAAGGGCAAAATCAGCAAAAGACAGACACACTCACACACACGCACGGGAAAAGCTGATGGGATGGGATGTGTGTGGGGGCCCAGGCAGGCCATGGAAAAGTGTGTGTGGGAGTGGAGGAGCGGGGAGTTCTCTTGTGTACATACACATGCATACATATGTATACATACATTGATTCATACGTACACAGCCGTACGCACGTACGTACATATATGGTATGGCGACCTACATACATGCATACATACATACTAGAAAAGCGGGAGGGAGGGAGGTGTGTCAGACATGTCTGTGTGCGGTGCTTGGATGGGATGGGTGGGTCTGGCCCCCCTCACTCCACTCCCTTTCCTTTGCAACCAGACCAGACCAGACCAGAGCAGTCGATCGATTACACACACATACATACATGAACATATATGGACAGGCACAGGCAGGCAGACCGGGGACCGTGCGATGACATAGACACACACACACACAGCCAGACAGACAGACAGACAGGCACGCAGCCAGGCAGGCAGGCAGGCAGGAAGACATTCTCTCTCTCATCCCACGTGTGGATTGTACGCACATTCACATACACACACACGTATAGATAGACGCTACGCTACACATACGGGCTGGTTGAAAGCAGCCGGGGTCACACGAGAGGAAAATCGAGCAGCGAACGGTCTCTCTCTATGGGCCTTGCGTTCATCCCTCCTCGCTCGCTGCATCCACCACTAACCAGTCAGTCACCCTGGCTCCCACAGCATCCATCGCTCGACGATAAAGATCTCTGTCCCGCCTCTCCCGGCCAGCCAAAACTGTCTGTCCACGGCCCCGTCCCACACTCTCTCTTTCTCCTGCTTGCTCGCGTTGCGACGCGCATCTGTCTCTCCTCTCCCACTCTCTTGCCCATCAGATCAGGCACCGACTAATGACGCGGGACTCCGCAAGTCATCCGTCTCGTGATCATATCGGTGGCTGTGCTTCCTGCTCTTTGTCTCGTGCAGCCCCGCCAGCCACTCGGCTATCACACGGGCCTGCACACAACGAACGGGCCGACACACAGGCAGCCAGAGAAAGAATTCCACGTCAAGTAAGAATGGATAGGTGAGTGTTGGTCGTCCGAGCGCACCGCAAAGTTCTTTTCGGGCACCGGCCACCAGGACTCACAGAACAGATTGTGGCCACCGGTCTGCACGCAGGCCACAGAACGAGCAGGGTCGAGTGTGGATCTGCTCCCAGCTGTCTGTGTGCCTGCCTGTGTCTCCCATTGACATCACACGTACACACCGGCGTGACGGCGAAAACAACGGTCGGGTGGTCTTTCAGGCGCCTGGCCATCTCCCACACAAGCGATGCGGGCACCACCGGGTCGTCCAAAGACATCAGGCACAGAAACGGTACCTGCATGACATGACCACCCCATACGACACATGGACCTCCATGAGCACCCGCCCATCGATCCCGCTGCTGCCCTATTTGTGTGTGTGTGTGTGTGCGTTGGTGTCACCTGTATGTGCTCCAAGTGGGCCTCACACGACGCATCTCGGTAGTAGTCCTCCACCCTCTCATAGCCAAACCGGTGACACGACAGCAAAGTGTCGCACTCCCACACCGTCCGCGCGCGCATCCCCCTCTCCACCAGATCCTCACTCACACTCGGCAGCCTCTTTTCATCCTCACCCCAGCTGCTCAGCAGAGGCAGAGAGAGATCCGGCAGAGGCGACAGGCCGGCCGTGAGAGGTGAGGGGGGCGGCGGGGGCGAGGCTGACGAGCTGGCGGTGGATGTGCTGCTAGAGAGGCTGGCGGTGCTTGTTGTGAGCGCTATGAGCAGGGGAGAGGGGATGAGGGCCAGCGAAACGGATGACTCACGCTGCCTTCGGTAGAGCGGCCGGGGCTGGGAGAAGTAGCACTTCTTATACGCCCAGGTAAGTCCTCTGCACACATGGACGGAGGCACACGATATGTTCATGCGTGCCGTGCTCATCCATCCATTTCTCCCTCCATCCCACTTTGACCTGCTTGCCAGCTTCGACAGAGATGCCCTCGGTGCGCCGTCGATGTGCCGCACACACCTTCCCACATCGATGGGGTTGCTCACCGACACCCCGCCCTTCACCCGCCGCCACACAGCACTCTCACCCTGGCCAGCCCGCTTGCCCATCTCACCCAGCCACCTGGCCACGTTCGAACCGCCCATCGAGAAGCCGATAAAATAGATGGGCGACTCGTTGTCAGGTGTGCGGCTGACGATGGCCTGCATGGCGGCTTCTATGTCGCCAGTGGACGCCCAGCAGCGATGGTGCGAGTCGATGGGGTGGTCCACGCCCCGTGGGCTCATGACGTGGGAGCGGAAGCCCAGGCGAGACAGCAGGGTCACTGCAGAGTAGATCTGCCCGTCCCGCGACGAGCCGCACGCACCTGAAACAGACAGACAAAGGAATAAGAGCGTTTGTAATGACTGATGAATGCTGGCTGCGTGACGCCTCTTTCTTTCTCACCAGTGAGTATCAGCACATCTCCTTTGCAATCGACCCCCTCTGCCGGCTCCCGCCTGTGCAGGTGCACCGTCCCTCCCTCTCGGCTGTCCTCAACCGCATCCACACCGTCATAAATGGCGTCCCTGTGCGGCGTGGCGTGCCCCTGAAGGTACATCAAGACGGCCTGCACCCAGGCTCCTCCCAATACGCGAGATGAGGGCCGAAAGCCGGCAGCGGAGAGCAGTCTCCTGTATGATGACGCGCCAAAGAGTCTGATGCCTGGGCGTGTGGCGGGCTTTGTGGACGAGGCCGCCTGGGCGATGGTGGACGAGAGGAGAGCGAGCGGCAGAATAAGGAGGGACAGCAGGCACGGCATCGAGCTCAGCATATCCCAAGGGATGTCGAGCATGATAGCCCAGTCTTCCCTTCCCCCCGTCCCGAGCGGTTTCCCCGTCTGTGTGCGAGCTTAGAAGTACAGATCTTCCCATCTTTTTCCCTGGACACGGGAGTCGTGTTGTTGCAGGTTAACCTTGATGGCCGGGCGGCTTGTTTGAGCGTCATTGTACCATTTGAATCACAATAGGTGGGCGAGCACACACACGGCACATGCAGCAGGTGTCTGCCCATCTCTCGTCGCCTCTCTGTGTGTGTGGTCGGTGCAGCTGTTGGTGTCTGTTTGAGTGAGATGTCCGAGGGTCACGACGACATCCACATGGCCTCCGCTGCCATGGCGGACGGTGACGGTGGCGATGCGGGTACGCCACACACAGATGAATGTGACACATCAAACACACAGCATCAGCGCCACACGTGTCTGTGTGTGTGTGTGTGTGTGTGTGTGCAGACGATGTGGCTGAGGAGGATAGCAATGGCGGCGGCGAGCAGCCAGACGGGCAAGACGACAATGACGCTGACAGTGGTGAGTCAACAGCACGCCACACAGACTGATCAACACACCAGTGGCACACTCATTTTCGCTTTGTTGACGAATGTGTTGGTGTGTCTTCGTTTCAGATTTGTTGCGTGAGGAGGAGGACGGTGGGATGGCCGAGGAGGAGGAAGGTGTACAGGAGGCAGCTGATAGCGAATCCGAATCGGTGGGTCACTCATTGACAGCCACAGCCGCCCCATGCGACGAGCGTCAGCAGTGTTTCTCACTCTTTCCCTTTGTTGTGGCAGGGTGGTGTGCAGGATGACAGTGATGGTGACGGTGGGCCGCTGGGCGACGGCATCGATGACGACGACGAGAGCGATGAAGACGACGGCTATGAGGAGGACGGTACGCCAGACAGACAGACAGACAGACGCGAAAGAGTGTGATCCGCACACACATTCCTTCACTGTGTGTGTCGTGTGGTGGCTGTGTGTGTGTGTGTTGCAGGACATCCTGTGGAGGTGGCCACCACGGTGGAGGTGCCTGACGGCTGTTGGAGATCCGATGACATCGAGGCTCGATTTCCCCACTATACCAACGAGGCTACCAGGCAGCTGGCATTGGGCATCATCGGCCGCACCATCACCAGCCCTCAGCAAGCGACACGTCTCATCCAGCAGAACGCCGACCCAGATGTCATGCCTCGACTGCGGCAGAAGGGCAGCGGGTATGGTGACGTCTACGGCTACCCCCTCTTGTGTCTCGCTATTGACAACAAGTCGGACTACACCGCCGAGACAATCCTGGCAGGGGACAGTCTTGATTGCCGCCTCTTCGCCTTGCCACACTGGTCGTCGGATGAGCTGCAGTCGGCAATAATTACCGCGCTGCTCGACAGAGGGGCAGACGTCAATGCGGCAGCCGACGAGACCGGGGAGACGCCTCTCCACTTGGCGATCGCATGCGGCAATCAGACGGCCTTCGACCTGCTGATGGCGCGTCACGACGTTGACCTGCGCCCAGCAGACGCACACGCAGTAAGGGTGATGGAGCTGCCCGAGCCGCTGCGTCCGCCTCCCCCCGAGTATCTGCAGCTGCTCATGTCGATGTATGAGCGACTCATCGCACGAGACCCCACACTCGCAACCCAACGACGCGGCGGCCTCAACCTGGTTTTTCATGCAGCCGGGTCGGAGGAGGGCCACTACCCCCAATGGTTTATCGACGCCTATCTGGACCTCGTTACGGCGAACGGGGCCGACATGACGGCAGACGATGCCGGTGGGGAGACGCCACTGCACAGGGCGGCCTTCATCGGTTCTCCCCACGTGGCCGACTACCTCTGCCGCAAGCTGCCCGCTGACCAGATCAACAGACGGACAGTCGCCGGCAACACGCCCCTCGCCATAGCTGCCTATGAGCTCGATCGGCACACCCAACATCTGCAGCACCCGAACACTTCCGAGGCCGACAAGGAGGAGGTGCGCGCCGAGATTCCCAACTACAAGCTGACGATCCGCAGCCTGCTGCGGGTGGGGGCCGACATCAGCACCATCCCCACAGCCACAGAAGAGCGCCGCCGCCAGCTGGTGCTGACAGAGTATGCCGGAGTGCTCAATGAGCTGGGTCCCCCCGTCATGGCGGCCGTCAACGCCGCCCTCGCCCCCCACCGCTCACTCGCGGCCCTCCTGACCCCCCGGCTGGCCGTCGGCCCGCAGGAGGCCCCCGTCTTCGGCTGGCGCATTGCGTCATACCTCTTCGACATGAATGCCGCCCAGGAGGTCATCGGTGAGGCTATCGGTGTGCGGCACACCGACATGGCCCGCCGTGTGTGTGCGGCAGCGGAGCACTTCATCCATTCGGCGGTGTACCAGGCCAGCAGCAACAGGGAGGTGGTGGGCGGAATGAGGTATGAGCAGCAGGGCGACAAGCGGCTCAAGGTGACGGTGCCGCAGCTGCAGTGCTTTGTGGTGGGCGGTGTGGGTGGCCGCAAGATGGAGTTGCGTGAGGTGGTGCAGCGGGCCATCCTGGACGAGGCGGCCAAGTGGGGGCGGCGGGGGAGATCGACAACGGCTTCAGCAAGGATGTGGCTGCCGTCGAGTGGGGGGCGGTGGGGTGGGTCGACAAGGGGTGGGACGGGAGGGAGACATTCAGACGGCTGGGGATGACGTGAGAGAGGCAAACAAAGAGATGAGGCAGGCAGGGGGGATAGAGTGTTGGATGGACAAATCGTTATCGCTGCTTCTGTCATCTTGAAGAAGAAGTTCCTTTTCTCGACTCTCATCCCGACAAATATTACGAGTCAATCTATCGGTGTTCGCGAATGAATGCCTCACCGATTCGCTCCCATCGGCCATCACACCGCCCTCTTCATTGTCCTCATCTGAACACAATCAACCACAGGCACACACATCGACCCAAATCAACTGCTGCGGCGTTCGGTGCTGACCGTCAGGCTCATCGCCGCTCTGGAGTTGCTGCACGGCGTCGACGTCCATCGGGGGCTCCGCGGCGACCTCCTGCTGCTGCTGAGCTGCTGCTTGTCGTGCGGCCATGAGTGGGGCTCGGTGTGCACACAGAGAGATAGTCCTACTACCTCTTCGACGACCTGACAGTGACACGCACACAAGGAGGAATGAGGGCCCTTCCTCCACCGAGGACGCTATTGCTCTTTTCCGCCTGCCCGCGTACCCTCTTGTGTCCTGTCCTCTTCGGACGGGCCCTCACCTCACACAGACTAAAGCAGATCTGCCGCCCTGGACTCACGAATCACGATGAGACGGAAGCTGGGGGACGCCCGTGGCGTATTGAGGTCGCCTGGGCTCCACTGGCGGTGATATCAAACGCTCCTCGCGCACTTCTTAGCTCGCCCTAGGGTGGAGGGTTCAAACCCTAACCCTCTAGATTTGATGGGTGACTGATTCGGTCAGTGCATGTGGAGCGTGCGTGGGTGATTCCTGTTGCGTATCGTTCGTTTGACTGTGCGTGAAAGACACCGGACCAGGCTTTCGGGCCATCTTGACATTCCGTGGTTGTTACGTGGAACCGCTATCTCTCTCTCTCTCTCTCTGTATGCGAAGACAGGCTACAGGCTGTGTTTGTCTATTTCGCATACATCCTGTCTACCATCAGATTCAGACCGCTTGCCTGGTTGAAACACAGGTTGCTTTCTCTGGACACCGCGGCCTCTGTGCAGATCTGCCTTGTCGACGGAGCGGCTTGTTTGAACGCTTTTGTACCATTTGACTCATAGCTAGGTGGGCGAGCACACACACGACACATGCAGCAGGTGTCTGCCCATCTCTTTCTGCCTCTCTGTGTGTGGTCGGTGCAGCTGTTGGTGTCTGTTTGAGTGAGATGTCTGAGTGTCACGACAGCCACACGGCCTCCGCTGCCATGGCGGACGGTGACGGTGGCGATGCGGGTACGCCACACACAGATGAATGTGACACATCAAACACACAGCATCAGCGCCACACGTGTGTGTGTGTCTTCGATGGTGTGTGCAGACGATGTGGCTGAGGAGGATAACAATGGCGGCGGGCAGCCAGACGGGCAAGACGACAATGACGCTGCCAGTGGTGAGTCAACAGCACGCCACACAGACTGATCAACACACCAGTGGCACACTCATTTTCGCTTTGTTGACGAATGTGTTGGTATGTTCCGTTTCAGATTTGTTGCGTGAGGAGGAGGACGGTGGGATGGCCGAGGAGGAGGGAGAAGGTCTACAGGCGGCAGCTGACAGCGAATCCGAATCGGTGAGTCACTCATTGACAGCACCAGTCGCCCCATGCGACGAGCGTCAGCAGTCTTTCTAACTCTTTCTCTTTGTTGTGGCAGGATGGTGTGCAGGATGACAGTGATGGTGACGGTGGGCCGCTGGGCGACGGCATCGATGACGACGACTATGACGACGACGAGAGCGATGAAGACGACGGCTATGAGGAGGACGGTACGCCAGACAGACAGACGCGAAAGAGTGTGATCCGCACACACATTCCTTCACTGTGTGTGTCGGGTGGTGGCTGTGTGTGTGTGTGTTGCAGGCCATCCTGTGCCGGTGGCCACCACGGTGGAGGTGCCTGACGGCTGTTTGGGACCCGATGACATCGAGGCTCGATTTCCCCACTATACCAACGAGGCACGAGGCAGCTGGCATTGGGCATCATCGGCCGCACCATCACCAGCCCTCAGCAAGTGACACGTCTCATCCAGCAGAATGCCGACTCCCATGTCATCCCTCGGCTGAGGAGAAAGGGCAGGGGGTGTTCTGGCCTTGGCTACCCCCTGTTGTGCCTCGCCATTGACGACAAGTCGGACTACACCGCCGAGACCATCCTGGCATCCGAGACCTTCCAACCCGAAGACGATGATTTATTTTACCGTCCCGTCGCCCTGCCCCAGTGGTCGTCTGACGAGCTGCAGTCGGCCGTCCTGACCGCACTCCTCGACAAAGGAGCCGACCCCAATGGGACAGCCTACCGTTTGGCGCCCATCCATTTGGCGATTGCATGCGGCAATCAGACGGCCTTCGACATCCTGATGGCCCGTCACGACGTTGACCTGCGCCCATCAAACCTACTCAATGACATGGTGATGGAGCTGCCCCGCCCGCTGCGTCAGCCTCCCCCAAGTATCTGCAGGTGCTCATGCCCATGTTCCGGCAACTCACCCAACGAGACCCCACCCTCGCCACCGAAGAACGCTTCGAGGATAACCTGGTGGACAGGGCAGCCATCAACGCACAAGGGCACTATCCCCAGCCCTTCATCGACGCCTACCTGGACCTCATCACGGCGAACGGGGCCGACATGACGGCAGCCGATGAGGGTTGGCGGACGCCACTGTACTGGGCGGCAAACTGGGGCTCCCCTAAGGTGGCCGACTACCTCTGCCGCAAACTGCCCTCCGACCAGATCGACCCACGGGACGACGGCGAGACGCCCCTGGCCTGGGCTGCAAGGAGCCTCGATTGGCGCACTCAAGAGCTGCAACACCCGAACACACCAGAGCCGGCCGAGAGTGACGAGTACAAGCTGATCATGCGCATTCTGCTGCGGGCGGGGGCCGACATCAGCAGCATCCCCACAGACACAGACGAGGACCGCCGCCGCCGCCGCCGCCGCCAGCTGGTGCTGACGGAGCATGCGACAGTGCTCAATCAGCTCGGCCTTGCAGTCATGGCGGCCGTCAACGCCGCTCTCGCCCCCCACCGCCAACTCGCGGCCCTCCTGACCCCCCGGCTGGCCGTCGGCCCGGAGGAGGCCCCCATCTTCGGCTGGCGCATCGCGTCATACCTCTTCGACATCGCTGTCGCCAAGGAGGCCATCGGTGAGGCCATCGGTGTGCGGCACAGCGACATGGCCCGCCGTGTGTGTGCGGCAGCAGAGCACTTCATCCATTCGGCGGTGTACCAGGCCAGCAGCAACAGGGAGGTGGTGGGCGGGACGGCCAATGTGGGCGGCCAGGTGGTGCGTGTGCCGCAGCTGCAGTGCTTTGTGGTGGGCGGTGTGGGTGGCCGCAAGATGGAGTTGCGTGAGGTGGTGCAGCGGGCCATCCTGGACGAGGCGGCCAAGTGGGGGCTGGCGGGGGAGATCGACAACGGCTTCAGCAAGGATGTGCCTGCGGTGGCATGGGGAGCGGTGGGGTGGGTCGACAAGGGGCGGGACGGCAGGGAGACCTTCAGACGGCTGGGGATGACATGAGATGAGATGCACACATGGACAGGTTTGGGTGGCAGACAGGCAGGGGGCATAGCGTGTTGGATGGATA